GGTTTCCACACTGGTAAATGGTCACGCTCTCCGAGATAAGCATACTTCACACAATTGCACATCTACACAGCAGCCCAAACACACACACACACACACACACACACACACACACACACACACACACACACACACACCACGGACATGAGGACAAAGTTCTGTTAAGGCAGCAGGAAGTACGTTGTCTTTTTGTTCTAGAGATGTTGGCATCTTACCCCGGCTTGCGGTTTCTGTCTCTTCGTACAGGGCTGTGTTTGCGTTTAGGATCTCTGCTGGGTTCTTTCGGTTTGACTGGTGTCCTTGTGTTTACTTGCGGGGGGGGGGGGGGGGGGGGGGTGGGGGGGGGAGCTTTTTTTTTTTTTAATTTTTTTTTTTTTTTTTGTTAATCTTTTATCCAGCCACATTGCTGAAACTGCAATGATAGTCAATGTTTGACTTCTTCTTTTTCAGTTTTTCTCCCAGATTTGAAGTCTTTTTTTTTTTAAGATTTTATTTATTTATTGTGTATAAAACATTCTGGTTCCATGTGTATCTGCACACCAGAAGAGGGCACCAGACCTCATAACGGATGGTTGTGAGCCATCATGTTGCTAGGAATTGAACTCAGGACCTCTGGAAGAGCAGTCGGTGCTCTTAACCTCTGAGCCATCTCTCCAGCCCCTGGGTGCGAAGTCTTAACTTCTGTCTGTTCCCCTCATTGCCTGTCTGCCAAGGACACCAGCTGCCTGTGAGTCAGAGCAGATAACTGTCCCCAGGTGTAATTATTCCCCCACTTCAGACATACTAGTTTCTATTGATCAGTTTACAAAGTGAGCACATCTGATAAGCCACGTGTTGCAGGTGGCATTGGGATGTGGTTGGGATTCCCATGGTTGTGATTGTTTGATGCTTCATCTGTTTCTATTTCTTTTTGCAGTTCTGGGGGTTGAACCTGGGGCCGTATGCACACTGAGTAGACGAGTAGACACTATCACCGAGCTGTGTCCCCAGCTCATACTTGCCACTAGTTACCATGTTTATTTTTAATCCTTGCATTTCCCTTCATTTATCCTGTTGCAATTTCTGCATCAGGATCCTTGACAAATCTAACCTCAGGGCCATTTGGGGATTGGCTCTGTTTTTTGGTCTTTGTCCACAGGGAGCTGGTTTCCCTCTCTTGCCTCAGATGAAGCAGTTCTTTGCTGCTGGAATGTCTGGAGTTGAGTCACCCTGAATCAGAACCTCTTGTTTGAGGCCTTCAGATTGGAGCAGAGAAATGTCATCAGTGCTTCTCAGGCCCCCTTAGCTGGAGTTTGTCGTGGTCACTCTTGTCAGCACCTAATTGGGGCTTGGCCACATGGATCCAGCCAGATCCCTCCTAAGGGGCCAGCATCACCTCTTCCATCTGTGTCCTCAGCTGGTGCCTGTAGAAGTTTCCACACTTGCTCAGCAGGAACCCTCATGTCCGTTTGTTTCCCCTGTGTGTCCATGGCAGCTTCTCCCCATCATTTCCCAAATACTCAAGTGGGGCGACTGCAGACAGCCCTGACCTGGGATATGGGGCCCTATCTCTGAGCTTCTGAGGCTGCAATGTGCAGGGAGGGCTTCCGTTGTCTGGCTCTGGTCTCGACTCTAGGCTCTCCTGCCCTGCCTGAAGGCCAGAGGTGGGACTCTCCCTGAGCAGAAAGCCGTGGTTCTTGAGACATCTTCTTGTATTCTTCCAGCTGTGTTGTCTTCATCAATCCTTGACTTCCTGCGGACACAAGCCTATGTGCATCCAGATACTGACTTCCAGGGCTGGTATAATCCAGGAGGAACTGCCATTTGTGTTTTGCACAGATCCACAGGTGAAACCAATCCATGTCATGTTTTATATTGTGAAAAAGCACAGCTGAGGTCAGACCCTGGCCTTTGCAGATTTGAAGGAGACCTTGCTTGAGACTTGAGCCAGTGTTCCTCACACAGCCTGTCAGGTGGGAAGCATTCTTCCCGCCAGGATCCTTGTGATGACAAGATGGAGCTGTAGGAAGCGGATATGAAGCTGAATCCTGCCCCACGTTCAGACAGCTGTGGCACCTGGTCCAGCTGTGCTGTTCTAGGTCTCACTGGGACTTGGTGCCTTGTTTGCATATGTAGACTTACCACTCATCTTTAAAGGATCAGAATAGGAGCGAACCTCCGTGTCTGGTCTAAATTGAGGATGGCTACTGGGTATGCACGCTCCCTGGGGACAAGCTCACCTTGGAGCCACAGTCCTTTAGAGCATGGTGGTGTTTTCAGTGACCACTGATGGTGCACAAAAGGAGATGTCCTAGGGCAGTAAGACTGATGTGGCACCAGGGACATTCAGAAGACGGGTGTGCCTGCCTCTTGGAGGACCCACCATCAATATGGTGACCAAATGAACGGGGTGTCCTGGCGCGGGTACCAGGCTACATAATGCAGAAAACTCCGCATCTTAGCAATGGGGTAGGTGGGCTTCTGGGGTAGGGAGCAGAGACTCTGGGAGGAGGACAGGATTCCAAGGGTAGAGCTGGGATGGACCCTGCTACCCAGAGTTCCAATTTTACCTTCTGGAAAGTTCATTGTACTATTACGGGGGAAAGAACAGGGCATGTGGGGAGACTGAGAAGGAGCCACCTTGGGCCAGCCTAAGTGACCAACACAGGACCTCAGGCCATACAACAAGGTGGCCCTCAGCTTGCAGAGTTATGACAGTAGAGCCCTCCTGCTAGGTCCCTAGTGCAAGCTCACAACCTCCAGCCCTTGGGCCGCCCTCCCCAAGCCTCTCCCAGCAGGATTGGCAGCTGGTCTATCAGATAGTGTTTCGCTTACCCAGCAGCTCCATGTTCGTGGGCTAGCTTCAAGTATTTTCATGTACCCTCAAGACAATGATTAAAAAGTAATTAACCTAAATTTAGCCTGATTGTCATAAATAAATTAGCCGCATGAATCATCTGTGTTCTGCCAGCCTACACATGTTTGGCTACCAGGTGAGCGTCCCCCAGGGGAGCTATGGGGTCCCTCTACTACACATCAGGGGACAGCATCACCCTCATGGGCTTGCATGGTCCGGTTCTGTGCCCATCATGTGGGGGATTGCTCTGTCAGCCAGCGGCAGCCAGCTGTCCTTGGTGGCTGAAACCTTTGTCAGTACACCTAAAGCAGCAAAGCAGAGAGCAGAGCCCTGCAGTTTCGTCTCTGTGACCAGCTGTCTAGTCTGCCAACCCTGAAGGCTGAAGACATGGTGTGTGGGTGTTCCCCATCAAATCACAGCCATCACCTCGGGGCTGTCCAAGGCCGTGGTGTTTCTGTCAGCTACCTGCAGGTGGTGCTTGGAGGACCTGGCAGGGGTGGGTTGCCGCTGCTTTGTGGGACAGATTCTTTTCAGGTTATATCCAGTCCCCCATCAGCTCTGTTCCCATCAAGAGGCCTGTGACCCTACTACAGACTACTCTGTGATTTTGTTGTCTCTTCCTTAGATGCCTGCCTCAGCTGCCTCTCAGGTGTGAAGCACCTTTGGGAATCTGTTTTGTTGTCCCTCTCTTGGGCTTAAGCTTCTTCATGGCTTTCTCCAGGGCATCTGCCTCCACAGGCTCTCTGCACCCATATCCTGTTCAAGACCGATGGGTTCAGCTGTTGCTGTGGGTAGACCTCGAATTCTTTATGCTGGTAGTCCAGACACACCATCAGAACTGGGCAAGATCTGATTCATGCGGCCTATAGATAGATAGTACCCGTGCTATCTATAGGCCAGTTCCTGAGCGTGTGTCCCCATGTTCCACTGATTCTCACTGCCCCCCCCATTCCAGTTTGCTTTCACCTGGACCATGTGGATGGCCACTAAGAAAAAACAAAATAAGAAAGTGCAAGCATCATGTTGGAAGAATCAGAAAGGATCAAGATTAGGGGCTGGAGAGATAGTTCCATGTGCTTTCTTTGTAAGTTCAAATCCTCAGTACCTGTGTAAAAAGCTGGCCGTGGCTGTGCATGCCTGTAACACCAGCACGGTGTGGGGGAGAGGATTGCTGGGGTTTGCTGGCCATCAACCACCCTTGCTTGATGTTCACCGAGAGCCTCTGACTCAAGGGAATAAAGTGAAGTGTGATAGAGCAGGACACCTGACAGCCTCCTCTAGTTTCTGTGTCAGAGTGTATGAATCTGGGCTAGAGAGATGGCTCAGCGGTTAAGAGCACCGACTGCTCTTCCAGAGGCCCTGAGTTCAATTCCTGGCAACTAAATGGTGGCTCACAACCACCTTGAATGAGATATGGTACCCTCTGCTAGTGTGCAGACAGAAGACTGTATACATAATAAACAAAATCTTAAAAAAAAAACTTAAAAAAAAGAGTGTGCACACCTTTAATCCGAGCACTAGGGAGGCAGAGGCAGGCGGATCTCTGTGAGTTCAAGGCTAGCCTGGTCTACAGAGTGAGTGCCAGGATAGGCTCCAAAGCTACACAGAGAAACCCTGTCTCAAAAAAAAAAAAAAAAAAAAAAAAAAGAGTGTATAGACCTACACATGTGGCCACCACATGCAATGTGGTGGTTTGAAAGAAAACGGCTTCCATAGGGAGTGACACTGTTAGGAGGTATGGCTTTGTTGGAGTAGGTGTGGCCTTGTTGGAGCAAGTGTGTCACTGTAGGTGTGGGTGATACAGTTGCCTGTGGATCAAGATGTAGAACTCTCAGCTCCCTCTCCAGCACCTTGTCTGCCTGTGTGCCGCCATGTTTCGCCATGATGATAATTGACTAAACCTCTGAAACTGTAAAGTACCCCAATTAAATGTTTTCCTTTATAAGAGTTGCTATGGTCATGGTGTCTCTTCAGGCAATAGAAACCTGAACTAAGACACACATAGCACGCAAACAGCACATACATAAACAATAGAATGAAGAAAAGATCCAGATTCAGCATTCTCATCATTGGTCTTCCAGAACCTTCTCATTCCTGAACCTTAGTAGGCTTGCCCCCCGCTTCTTCAGTGCATTTAAAAACTCCAACATAATTTGAATTGTTTTTTAGAAGAAAAAACTTTATTATTGTACAAGGGTCTAAATGAATGGGAAAGTAAAGATGTAGCCAGCTAATCACTGCCCTGATTAGCATCGTATGCCCATTCCGATGGCCATGAATGTACCAAAGGTTCCGCCACTCTGCATCATGGTTTTACCAATGCCACCCATCAGCTCCCGATCCCTCATTCCGATCCTGAGACAGGAGAAGGTGCCGAACAGTGCCCCGGCCGCCATGCCCACGGTGCAACCCATGACAAAGCCCATCTTCACACGGTCGAAGCAACTGGGCTGGGACTGCCCGTAGGGACCCACGGCCCCCGGCATCTCACTCGCCGCCACGTTCGCTGGGCTCTACATCTCACACCGAAAGCTCATAATTTGAATTTTGACTGAGGGGTCTTCCAAGTATCTCAGCACCCTCCTCGAGGGCCTTGGTGCTGCAGGACCTTTGCACTGGTTGTCTTCTCTTCAAATACTTGATGGCTCATTCCCTTGCCTCTTTCAGGCCTCTCCAGCATCCACTTGGGATACTTACTGAATCTCCAGTCTTAAACACACTAGGTAAGCACTGTCCTATAGCTCCCACCTGAGCCCAATATCTGCACCGGAACCAGATCCTCCTCAAGTGCATGGCCACCTTGTCCTTCTGTCTTTCTGTCCACAGAGTGGATTCAACCTAGTGCCGAGTGGCCCACCTTGGACAACTGTGAGTTATGCAGGCCTTCTGGCTCAGGACTCAGGTCCTTTTGTGTTAACCCTGAAGGGAACCTATGCAACAGGCACTGAGTTGACGGATTTTTTGCTGTGACCAAAGAGCTGAACTTGTAGCTGTACTGGGCTCCTGGGAGGCCTAAGGGTAGCACCCACTCACTGCCTGGCCTTCGTCGAAGTTCTGTGGTTCTCCTGTGCTGCTCCCCTGTGCGTTTCTGTTGACCTATCCAGCTTGTCTTTGCTGGTCTGGAACCTGTATTGGTACTTTAGAATGGTTTGAGGAAAGACCCAGGAGACAGGTCCTCTAGTAAGCACCCTGCTTCTCTGCCCCTCTCCCTCCAGGACTCTCACTGTGTCCTCTGGGCTCTTCCCTCTTTCTCCTGTATTTCCCATTCCTTTGTCACCCTTGAGTCTTTCTGGAAGTAGCTGTTCACTGCTCATCTTTTGCTCCGTGGCATGTCTTGTCTTTATTGATCTTGACTTGGGTCTGTTAAATCCATCCAGCCACGGTGGTTATAGAGCAGGCAGAACAGTGGTCCCCAGAGATGTCCACGCCCTGACCTGGACTCTGGGATCAGGCTAAGTGGTGTGGCAAAGAGCACTCTGCAGGTGTGATCGGGACACAGGATGGCGAGGCTCACCCTTGTTAGGAGATTCAGAGACAAGCAGGAAGCCAAGGAGTGCAAGAGCACGTGGGACCTGGTGAGGGCTGGTTTTTCCTCAAGATCTGGATCAAATCAGTGAGGCCTGTGCTGGGCATGTGGCCTGGAGGCTGTACAGCAGCAGTTCTTAACTTGTGGGCCACATTTACACTATGATTGATAACAGTAGCAAAATTATAGTTATGAAGTAGTACCAAAAATAATTTTATGGTTTGTGGGCTTACCATGACCTAAAGGGTCATAGCATTAGGAAGGCTGAGAAACACTAATGTAGAGGAATACACAATTTCTTGTCTCTGAGTTTGTGACTGTGTTAGTAGCACAGAGCAAATGGCATTGCCATGATTTTAACTGTATCATTGTGTGTGTGTGTTGTCTCTGTGTGTATTGTTTGAAGTGTGTAAATTTCATACATCACAGCTTCTAAAATCCTGCCCCAGATGGCTGGCTTTTCTAGATTTTTGCACAGACAATCCATAGCCACATCTTAGAGATTCTGCTTCCTGTTCATGAGATTTTGGGTCCCCGCGTTCTTGGTAGCCTTCAAATGCTGAATATTTTGTCTGAAAAATTTGTGGTGGGGCATGCCTTTATTTAATTCCAGCACTCAGGAGGCAGAGGCAGGTGGATCTCTCCAGTGTGGTCTACAGAGCTAGTTCCAGGACAGCCAAGGCTACACAGAGAAACCCCTCTCAAAAAAGCAAAAAAGTGTTGACAACACTCAAAAAGTGTTGTCATCTAAGAAAAGCAGTGTGCAAGAGGAAGATACCATGAGACAGGGTTCAAGCAGAGTTTTTTTTGTTTGTTTGTTTTTTTTTTTAATTGGGGAAGGGATCATAAAAAGGAGAAAGGGAAGATGGGATAGCTGCCTCTGGAGACAGGAGCAGCAGGAGAGGGGGGGAAGGACAGAGAGGAAGAGAAGAGGAGGAGGGAGGGATGGGAGGTGGGCAGGGCCCTTTTAAAAGGGAACAGTGAATGTGCACAGGTGGGGCTCTTAGTGGCTGCAGCTGAGGGTGTATCCTGTCAGAACCCCAAGGACAGGCCAGGACGTCTGGATACTGACAATAAGTAAGTAAGTAAATACATAAATAGCAACACTTAGATGAGGTTATTTCTCCATGATTGGATTTTAAAAATTGCTTCTAGCCATATATGCTATATATGCCATGCATATAATCCCAGCTCTTGAGAGACTGAGGTTAAGACCAGCTTGGGCTACAGAGTGAGACCCTGTCTCAAAAAATAGTAGGAGTAGTAGTAGAAGCCAATAATAATAGTAATAATTGAAATAAAAAAAGCAACTAAAAATCACTTCTGCTAGGTGTCTGCAGGCACTAACATTCAGAGATGTTTCCTGGTCTTATTAACTCCCAGGCGCTCTGGCTCTTGACTGCAGGCTCCCCGGGGCTTGCTGGCTCTTCTGCCATGTCCTTAGAGCTCATCCTGTCTGGGTTTGATGTCAATCAGAGGCCCTATCAAGGATGTCCACCTCTGTGAGGCAGACCCCAGCTCCCCCCAGCCAGGCCTGGGGATACCTGGTTCATCTACTACACTCCCCTTCAGGCTGGCAGTTGCCCCTGCCCCCATCAAGCATAGGTGGCTTCCAGTGCCACTTGGGTCCTTACCTTCTGTCTTCTGTCATACTTACGGCTTGCTTTGATGACACTAATGAATTGCGAAAATGTGCTTTCCAATCTGTGGGTCTGCACTCAGACCCAGAGGGACATTTATTCACGTTGCCGCTCTGATTCAGTGCACTGTTAGTGCGTCTTTCTGCCAGGGTCCTAGGCATTCAGTTTCCTTGTGTACTTATTCCCCAAAAGCCGCTGCAGAAGTGACAATGCTAAATATAGGTTAATAAGTACTGACCCTCACTTGGCACAGCCACCCCAAGGCCAGCATTCCTCATCCTTAAGACCTGGCAGGGCAGCTGGGGGACTGACTAAACACTTGGGATTTGGGGGCAGGTAGACCTGGCAGAGACCCTGAATCTGTCACATGGGCTGTAGGTCACAGGGCAGTCCCTCAGTAGCATACTCTGTTTAGCAGCTTCACCTTTACCAGCCCACAGCTGTCCCAGGTCCTACAGGAGGCCCTGAGGTTGGGGTGCATGGAGGTTGGGGTGCATGAGCCTCTTCCTAGGTGCTGGGTACTGAGAGATCCAGGCCTGGCCTCAAACACGGCACACGGGGAAGCCAGGCACAGGGGGCAAAGCCTCGCAGCTTCTCTCCTTTCATCTTTTATGGGCCAAGATGCAGGTTGAGACCAGTCACCAGCCGCCTCATTAGCAACCACACCACTGGCGTCACCTCGCCTTTGCACACTCGAAAACCCAGGAGTCACACTCGGAACCTGTCCAGCTTCCTCCCCTTCAGCCACCTGGAGATGCAATCACTGACTGATCTGGCGAGATCCTATCTCCCTGTTTGGGGGCTCCCTGAATTAATTACCTGTGGGGAGGTGACTCATGCGGCCCAGGGTCTAATGAGGCCATTGCCCTGCTGCTTAAATAGCCCACATGTTTGTGCACATATACCACACACATACAGACACCCCCACCCCCATACTCATGTGTATGTGCACATGCAACATACAGTCATGTATCTGTACACATATGCATGGTCACATGCAGATATGTATAGAAGTACACACATCACACATGTGTATATACCCTATACCAATACACATACAGACATATACACATACCCCACACACATGCAGCCATGCACACACATACACACATATTCTTATATAGACATGTACATGTACACGTGTACACTCAGACATATAGATACATACATACACATGCCACATACATTCACACTCCTGCACCTATACCCATGCACACACATAACCCCACACACGCAAGCCTGTACACATGCATATACACTCACACATGTATGTACCTCATATGAGCCCAGACATACACACTCATCCACATGCACGTGAGCACACACGCGTTCCAGCCTCTGCACACCTTCATATAACAGTTAAATGGGGGAAGTTTGAAGACTCCTTGTTTTCTTTTTTCTTTTTTTTAAGATTTTATTTATTTATTTATTTATTTATTTATTTATTTATTTATTTATTTATTATGTATACAGTCTTCTGCCTGCATGCCAGCAGAGGCCACCAGATCTTATTCAAGGTGATTGTGAGCCACCATGTGGTTGCTGGGAATTGAACTCAGGACCTCTGGAAGAATAGTCAGTGCTCTCAACCGCTGAGCCATCTCTCCAGCCCAGACTCCTCGTTTTCTCATTCTTCTGTGTCATCACTCATTAGGTACCAGGCACTGTGCTTGGTGCAATGGTAACAAACACTCTTGGGTTTAGGGGACATAAACAAGGAAAGGAAGGTGAAGGCAGCATCCAAGGAAAGCGCCTGAGGGATCAACAGACAGAAGGTAGAAGGGCTGTCTGGTGGGCACTGTTGAAAGCAGAGGGCTGAGCAGGGTAGGAGTACTAGGGGTCCCCAAGCAGATTGGGAAGTGGGCCTCCAGCAGGGCACCTCCCAGGAAGAGCTGCAGACTAGGGCTAGGCTAGTGTTCTACAGGGTCACATGGACGGTTGGGATGTCACTCTTTGGGCAGCAGACAACCTGATTTGGCCCTGCGATCTGAGGGATGAGTTGGTTGTGGTCAGAGACTGGTGGTTGGGCTTACAGCTAGGGTGCGGGAATGTGGTGAAGGCAGAGACTGTAGCTCTAGGGAAGGGTTTCAGGGTTTCAATGCAAAGGGCAGGACTTGCCAATGGGTGAGAGCAGAGAATGTGACAGCAGCTATTGGCTAGATCCTGTGGGCATGGGTAGGGTGTCAGGAGGAAGTCCTGCTGCCACCTATGAGATGCTTGCCTGTTTGGCCTGTTTCCCCTGGTCTTGGTAATGCCTCCCAATTTCCTCATGGTGTACAATGGGGGGTGGGACAGGGGAAGTTTAACTTAGCCACTAGGG